CCTTAAGTTCATTATTGTTATACAGAAAGGTTACTTGATTTTGTGTGTTTACTTTTTCCATCCTGAGAATTTATTGAATATATAAATAATGATAACACCAGTTGAAGAATGTTTTATATTTCCTGGTTCTGATTTTTCTAATTGAAATAAGGTTTTCATGTGTCACTTTCCCTTTTCTCTCTCCCCTCTTCTTTCTGATGGCAGAAAAAATGCCTTGCCTTCAAGCATGTTGAGTTGCTTTTGCTCTTACTCATGGCTAAGAATGATTCCCATCTTCCTTTGTGTCACAGCCCAGTGATATTTAGTTGATGCTTTCTGATTACTTGTAGTGAGTCAGTACTGCTTTATCAGCATCAGATGCAGAATCTTGTTCAGACCTCATGGCAACTTCCTAAGTGAGACACTTTCATTCTTCATAATTTACATGAAAAACAGTCCTCAGAGAGGTTGAGCATTCTGCTCAAGGTCACAGCTAGTCAGTACAAAAGCTGGGAATCAAACCTATCAACCTAGATGCTTAACCTTGGGCATTTTACAAAAGACAAAATATTTGATCCTACTTAGAAAGAAAAGTGAGACATGTACATTTCCTTGAAAAAAGACTATCCCAGCCTGCCTGGGGAGATGATGTGGGTGCCTGGTGGGCTGATTAGTGTGTTCTGCTTCCTTTCTCAGGTCATGGTGTGGTTTCCAGGAGGTGGCTTTGAGAATGGCTCAGCCTCCATCTTTGATGGGTCTGCCCTTGCTGCCTATGAGAATGTGCTGGTCGTGACCACTCAGTACCGGTTAGGAATATTTGGCTTCTTCAAGTGAGTATCTCCAGGTGACCGATATCTCATACCCTAGAGGCTGTTAGCAGCTGTGGACAATGTCCAGAAACCTAAAGAGGAAGGGCCCTTCCATGACATTGAACAAATTTGCCTCTAATATTGTAGGTAATTTTAGTATCTGACAGATAAATACTAATTCTTTTTTAAAATACTAATTCTTAATGTCTATAAACAATTAAAATTTTTATTTCTCACCTTAGTAAGAGCAAAATGAATATGCCTGATTGACAGAGTCCACAGGGTAAATCAGGGACCTGGGCTCCTTGCACATCTTGTCTCTGAGGTGGTTTCTCTAGAACAGCACACATACATTTAACCAGCAGATGGCGAAAGAGCATGCAGGATCAGCCCGGGAAAGTTTTCCTGAGTCAGCCTGGAGGTGGGGCTCATCACTCCTGTTCACATAACCATTTGTCTGAATGCAAATAAAATGAGCAAATCTAATTGCAAGGTCAAAGGGAAGTGTAGCCCAGACCTGCAGCTGGGAGGATAAAGGACCTAGTTCTCTGAGCAGTTGGCCCCTTAAATGCTTCCTGAGAATAATCCCTCTATTGCACCCCCCATAATATCTACCTTGTATTGGGTACCTGAAGCTTGCACTTGTCATGTTATTTCATTTATCTTCTGACACTAGCTTCCTAGTCACAGAGAAGGGGTAGGTTTCTTGATAACCTCTATTATCCTGCCTAGAGCATGGCAGTGTAAGTCCAAATTGCCATGTGAGCAACAAAGAAGCAGTGAGAGTTGGGGCCCTTGATCCTGTTTTGAGGTTACTACCACATGCTGTGGAGATGGCAGGATGGATTCATATGGAAATCCTTCTCCTGGAGGCTCATGGACCAGTAGGGCAGACAGTGCAGGGGCATGCACATCCATGATATAAGGCAGAAAATGATTGATTCTCCAGGAATAAAGGGCAAGGGGGTGTGGGAAAAAGGAGGGAACCACCAGAGATGTAGAGTTTTCTGAGAGAGGTAATATTTTCATTGTGCCTTAAAAATGTGGTTGAGTTTGGGGGAGAGTATGCTTAGCTACAAGTGCCACCTAAACCAAGGCTTGGAAACTGGAAGTCATACAGCAATACTGTGGTTTCAGAAATATTTGTGAGGAATACTCTGGGTCTACAGCAGTGGGAGTTGGCTTTGGGACTGCTGTGAAATCAGAGTGAGGTTATACTATCTTGGTTTGACCATAGGTAGGTGAGAATGTAGTAGAAGATAGATATGAAAGTCAGGGGCAGGCTTGATTGGGCAAGTCCTTGAATACTAGGTCATTCATGGCATTTGGACTTCATTCTCTAAAGACTGAGGCACCCAGGAGTGCACTGCTCAGAGCAGTGTACTGAAAAGCTCATGCCAGAGCAGAATGGACATAGTGTGCCTAGCTACAGATAGGGTGTTATTTGGAAAGCTACTACCCAATCTTCATGCAGGCCATGAGGAGTTTGAGTCATGAAAGCAATAACTAACATGTTTATTACACGTGTGTGTGTGTGTGTGTGTGTGTGTGTGTGTCACTGTCAGTCTTCCTAAAACCATGTGCAAAAGGGACATTTGTAACCCCCTTTCAGCATAAAGATATTGAGATCAACTTCATAAAATGGCACCCAGAGTCACCTACCAGATAGTGAGTGGCTACACTATGAATCTTGTGCTAAAGGATAAGGTCATAAACATTGAGGTATCACTCTTCTAAGGATAAAAAAAAGGGAGCAATGGAAACTGATGTGGGGTTCACAATGGAGTGGAGGTGAAACTAATAGGGATTGCAGAGTCCTGGAGTGAGAGGTATAGCCAGAGCCAGCCCATCAGTTATAGGTAGATAACAGAATGCAGGAGGAGGAGGAGGAGGAGGAGGAGGAGGAGGAGGAGGAGCAGGAGGAGGAATTAGGGGATTTGGGAATGGCGAGGCGTACTATGTGATCCTGAGATTATGTACATTAGTGCATCACATGAAGATTTTTAGTTTAGGCATTTCTTTGGTTCTGTGGAATTTCAACTTATTTCCCATTAATTGTCCATTAATTATGGGAAACATGCAATTCTCCAGGGTCCAGAACATGGAGTGTGGTTATGAACAGGGACTCTGGTGCCAGACTCATTGAATCTGTACTCTGCAACTTTCTTGCACTGTTCCCATCACATCCTTCCAAAAGGGGATTTAATCTCTCTGTCCCTGAAGCCCTTAATCTATTTGCAGAAGATGTTATATCTGTTATTATCCTGATAGTATGCTCAAAGACTTAAGTATAGGGCTTTTGTATGGGCTGTGGCAGTGGAGAAATGTGGCTACTGTCAAAACCCCTTCACAGACTCCAGCCAGCATGCAGTCCTGGCATGTGAGTGGGACTCCCCTGGGCCCTCTGGATCCTCACTCCAGCCAGCACACAGGCCCAGCATGTGAGTGGGATGGCCTGTTGCCTTATGGACCCTCACTTCAGCCAGCACCCAGGCTAGGCCTGTGTGTAGAACTTCCTCCATCAGACAAGCCCAGTGTGGAACATTGCCACAGAACTCCCTGCAGAGAAACTAGGGGCAAAACTCACCCAGCTTATCCAGGAGAAAAACTTCTTGCCAGAGTGGCACAGCAAGTTCACTTCCAAGGGCTACAGCAAGAAGAAGTAGACAGCAGCAAGACCAAAGTCTTACCCACCTGGAAGAGTTTCAACTTGGTAGATCTGGAACTGGTGCTAAGGTAATAACTACCAAAGCTCTACACCAAAGATCAGAAGACAGTGCTACACAAAATAACAAAGAGAAGGAGCAAAATGTATTTCCAGGCCCTGAGCCCACCCAGAAGAAATGCAGGAGACACTAACATTGAAGAAATTGGAAATCACACAACTGAAATCTCTGAATTAATAACATCTGAAGTAAAGAAAGAAATGTAGAAAGGTATAGAAGAAATTAGATCAGAAATAATTTCTGAAGTAAAAAAAAAGAAATGATAACTATAATGAAAGAAGTACTAAGTGCTTCTAAAGAAGGCACTGATAAAAAATAGAGGAGAATAGAGAAATGATGCAATCCTTGAATGAGAAATATAGGAAAGAAATAAAATGCATGGCAAAAACCATCTGAATGAGAGTGAAAATAGAGTTTCAGACCTTGAAGACACCATTGAAGCTATTGAAAAGGGAAGTAAAGGTCTCTTAAAAACAACTAGGATGCAGGAAAAAATAATTCAACATCCACAAGACAATGCAAAGATGAACAATGTAAGGCTAATAGGCATCAATGATAAAGAAGGAGTCAATACAAATGATACAAAAAGAATATAAGCAGAAATAATAGCAGAAAACTTCCCAAATATGGGGAAAAATCTGACATTCAGGTAAGCAAAACATATAAAACTCCAAATAACATCAACCCAACTAAAACCACACCCAGACATAATAATCAAGATCCCAGAAATTCAGCGCAGGAACAATATACTAACAGCTTCTAGAGAAAAGAAACAGATCACATTTAAAGGAAACCCATCAGAATAATGGCAGATTTCTCTTCACAAACCATCAAGTCAGAAAGATTATGGAGCAAATTATTTCAAGTCTTGCAAGTAAACAAATTCCAACTCAGACTGCTATATCCTGAAAAACTCTCTTTTAAGTTTAATAGAGAAGTGAAATACTTCCATGACAAAGAACAACTAAAGAATTTCATGACAACAAATCCAACTCTACACAGACTACTAAAAGGTATTCTAATTT